TGCTTGGCCTCAAGCGCCACGATGCTGTTTTGGAGCTTCTGCCTGCTTACTTTCTTCCAGCAACTCACCTCATCGTATGCCTTTTTCAGGGTTTTTAGGGTTTAGGATTATATGTTTATAGTAAGTATGCCTAATTTAGGGTTTATAGGGTTTAGGATTAAGTTTTAGTATGCCTTATTTAGGGCTCTTAGGGTTTAGGATTAAATTTTAGTACGCCTTATTTAGGGTTTAGGGTTTAGGATTAAGTTTTAGTATGCCTTATTTAGGGTTTATAGGGTTCAGGATTAAGTTTTAGTACGCCTTATAGTAATCCTTACAGCATCCAGTTCTATAATAATTCTTGTAGTGCCCCTTTATCCGTACCCCTTGTAGTCACGCTTATGGTAACCTTTATAGTGACCCTTACAGTAACCCTTGTAGCAGCTCGTACAGAAACCCTATCTGCACGCATGTTGTATTCAGAACCCTAAACCCTAAACCCTAAACCCTAAACCCTAAACCAGAGTTTAACTTGCAACGGCCTGCATGATTCAGGGCCAGGGTTGCTCAATGTCCGGGCTCCGATCTTACATCTGAAGACACCCTGTAAACCCGAAGCCCTAAGCCTCACATGCTGAAATTAGGTAGAGACCGAAGCCCTTCAGCTCTTCAATCTCTTGACCAGAATTCCGTGAGTCCTCACGTCATGCCCGTGCTTCTACCTCGGCTGCGGCTGGGGTTACTACTGCTGCTGCTTCCGCTCCCGCTGCCCCTGCTGCACTGCTACTGCTATTGCTAAAGCCACTGCTGCTGCTGCTACTTGCTTCTGTGGTTTGACTAGTTTTCGTTCTCGTCGCCACTGCCGCCGTCGTGCTAGTGCAAGATCGCTACAGGGCTACAGCCAACTGAGGTGTGTTTTTGGCATGGTGGCCAGCACACTCTGCCGAGATTTCATCACCGATGAGAATCAGGATATCGTTTATCGACGCTCGACAGGTTTAGGCTTCAGGTGGGTTTATGGCTTCAGGCGCTGTTGTCTTTCAGGCCTGAGGGGGTAGGTTCAGGTCGTTTGGGGCTTAGGCTGTTTAGTGTTTAGTTAGTTTGGTCTGTTTCGCTTTGTCTTGTTAGGCGCTTCGGGGGGTGTTAGAGCAATCTTGTTAGGCGCTTCGGGGTTTTCAGGGAGGGATTTGCAGCAATCCCCAGAAGCCCGAAGCCTAGCCCTGGATCCTCGCCCCTCAAATTCATGAAAGATCAATGGAAGTAAACCCTAAACCCAAAACGCTAAACCCTAAACCGTAAGCCGTAAACCCTGAAGCAAAGCAGTGAGATCCTGGGTCAAAATTCCGACTTCTGCTTCTCCATGAGAGCGCAGATGGATGGGAGCCCCAACGATCCAAGGAGAAGAAGTCTTCCTCTACTTTGGGACCTTCACTCGCACCTTTCTCACAATGTTCCATGGCTTCTAAAGACTGGGTTGGATGTCAGAGGCTTCGGGCACGGGACGCCACCTCTCAACATGCTTAACGTCCCGTCCAGATGCCAAGAGGCTAATGAGACGTTGACATGCCAAAAGTCAACCAAGCGTGGACTTTGCAAAAAGGTGACCGTGAACATGCCACAACAGTCCATGTCAGGTCCGTCAACATGCAAAAATTGGCCCGGCGACATGCCAAAACGCAGCGAGTATAACCCTAAACCCTAAACCCAAATTGTAGAATGACCCGTCAACGTGTCAAAAGAGGGCCCCGTCAATGTGTCAAACAGGGTCCGCATCCATGGCAAAAGCGCGAGCTAGGTCCTTGTGTGCTTTCTGTACAATTCCCTAATAACCCCCCAGGTACCTACTAAAAGGGCCCTAGGGGCTCTAGTACCCTATATAGTATTTACTTGGGGGGCTAGGAATGGCTTTGCTTCCAGACAGACCACGTCACGGGCTTGTGCCGGCGGTGAAAGTTGCAAAATGACCCGTCGTCAACGTGCCAAGAAGGGCCTGCTATGGCAAAGCCACGAGGTAGGTCCTTGCCCGTTCGTCCGGCGTTTGGGTTTTCTGCCGGGGGCGATTCTGTAAGTCGTATTGCCAATGTTCATGAACATGTTAAAATGCTAAAACCGTCCATGTCAGATACGTCAACATGCAAAAAATGCCCGTCGACATTCCAAAACGCCCTTTGAACGTAGTATGGCGAAAGCTCTCTCGGCATGGCGGCGCGGCGCCTTAGCATGTTGACGGGCCCCCTCCCTTTTGGGCACACTTAGGCGCGATGCCTTGTGGTTGTTAACCTTTCGTGTTTCCAGGCTTGAAACCTTGGTGGCGATAAACTTTTGTGTTTTACCGGTTTGACGCCGTGGAGGCAGTAAACTTTCGCGCTTTACAGCTTTGAAGCTGTGGGGTATATTGAACTTTTGTGAAGCCTAGGATAACTTTTCGTGCTTTCCAGTTCGCCTTGATGGTAGTATTTTTTTGTGTGTCACGGGTTTGAAGCCTTGCGGGTACGTAGTAAGGTTTTGGTCTTGTGGGGCTGTTGCCACTGATATGTATGTATATATATATATATATGTATATACACCAATGTATATATATATATATGTATATGTGTGTGTGTGGGTGTTTGTCCCTGCCTGTCTGTCTGTCTGTCTGTCTGTCTGTCTGTCTGTCTGTCTGTCTGTCTGTCTGTCTGTCTGTCTGTTGTCTGTCTGCCTGGCTCTCCGTCTGTCTCTCTGCGGGCGCGTGCGAATGCGAATGTCTACATGGGAAATGACTGGATGTGATGTGCTGTCATGTCAACTGGTGTGCCTTCTTGGAAACTGGCGTGCCCTTGCAGTTGTCAGGGAATGTAGCCATGGGGAGGATTTAAGTACCTGAGTTGGAGATATACGTTACAAGCTTTTTTGCACGTATAGCTACCTTACTTACAGCCCTATTCCCCAAACGCCCAAGCCTTAAACTAGTAGCTCTTTGTAAAGAAGCCTTCTACTAAGGAACAGTTTAAGCTACCGTTCAACATCTTCAGCATCATCATCTTCATCATACGCATCATCGCAGCTGTTATCATGTACATTTGCATGTTTATCAAAATCAGCGCACCTGGGACGATAGCAATACCATTTCAACTTTCGCGCGAGGTTCCCGATACAGGTCAATATTCAGGAAAGTTTCATCATTCGCGCGAGGTTCGAAATCCTCTTCGCAAATTGGGCCGTACCATGTCGCCTTCTGATGGAGAACATCAGCGAGTGGTTCTCGACGCCCGCACAAGAGTTTTGCATCTTTTTCAGCTTCGGGCTTCGAAATGTTGTATTGAAGAGGGTTTTGCATGAGTGAGCATGATGCAACATGTTTTCTTTCGGAGTGGTGCCCTGGGACCAAATTTTCATTCTAGCACCAGCATACTGAGGACTTTCTTCCTGGTCTACAGGCAAGACCGGGAACCAGACAGACTGAAGCATGCTGTATAATCCTGCTGCTTCGGTTAGGGAGGTGTTGTATGCCACGAGCATTACCCCCCACTGCAGACCGTCCTCTGTTGACACATGTGCGAGCTGGTGAATGCTGGTGATACAATATGATATTAGTCTACTAAATAGTGACACTGCCTGACTTGAGACGCAAAACCGCGGGAGGCATGGGAACGGTACTGCTCCCCGCTCTTTCGATACATGCTGCAACCCCCTACTCCACCTATTCCCCCTACTTTGCCTATGGATGTAATACTTGCAGGCAGGCCTTCACGGAAATACCAAGGATTGCTTGACGAAGTCTAACCTTGATGAAAGAAAGGTTTCCGTTTCCTGATAAGTGCCAACATAGGATACACTCTCCGGACAAGTAAAACCGAAAACACTAAGCCCATAAACTCTGGACCTTGAGCCAGGCATCTGCAGCTTAATGGCTTCTTCCCATAATATATACATATACATACACAGGTACATATACATATACACGTATACCTATATACCATATACCTATACGCACCGGTTTGTGCGCGCATACATACATAGATGCATGCATGCATACTTATCTTTTATAGACATCGTTATATATATATATACATACATTTGTATATCCATACAGAAATATAGTTATATGTTTATATATTTATATTTATATTTATATATATATATATATTTATATTTATATTTATATTTATATTTATGTTTATATATCTATATATATATATTCATATATTTGTATGTTTATATTTATATATATATATATATATATGTATACAGATATATGTGTATATATATACATTTAATTATTTATACATTTATATATTCTTGCGTGTGTATTTATATATATATATATATATGTGTGTGTGTGTGTGTGTGTGTGTGTGCTTCCTCGACCGCGCGGAGGAGCACTTCAAAAGCTGCATATGTCTCGACAGGTGCCTCTTGGGCTTCGCGGTCCTCAATGTCGTCGGCAACTCAGCATGGAGGCTTTGGACAGCAGAGGGCTTGAATCATAAACCCTAAACCCTAAACTTCCCTACCCAGAAAATTGCATGTAATCTGGTCTGACTTAAACGGCAGCTTTCGTTTACAATGCAAACGAAGATAACCAAGCCGGTGGCATAGCCAAACATGCATGTAGACGGGTGTGTAGATAGATCCGTCGACAGGTGAGCATTAGGGCAGGAGCTGAGACAGACTCGAACCAACATGATCAGAAACCGAACACGGGCAGGTGAAGCCTGTTTGTCTGAGGCAAGCGCCCTAAACCTTAAGTCTTTTAAGCCCTATAAGCCCCAATCGTAGACTCGGCTCTATGTTGTCGCTGTTGGCTCGCAGTGCAACTTGCGACATCCGTGCTCCATCCTTCTCAGATCTACGGGCCTTGGAAGATATTGGGCTTAGAGTTTAGGATTGCTAGGTTTGCTATAGATGTTGTTGAAAGTGTACCTCCGCCCAGCCCAGAAGAGATAAGCTACTCCTACTTCCAGCTGCTACTGGACTTTGACCCTTGGTGCCAGTCAACAAAGTACTAGTCTTTGTGTAGCCAGACGCCGCACTGAGAGAAGATGCTCGTTTTCGTGAAGAACTCGGATGGCATCCTCCGTGCGTTGGCAATCGAGAGTGGGAGCGTCTTGAGCGAAGGCATGACTGACAGCCATGATGTCTCTGCAGACGCTGCTCGGATGCGTGAACTGCTTGGTGGACTTACGAGAGAGAAGATCATGAGCGCATGGAAGCAGATTGCTTCGAGTTGCCCAGGAGTGAAAAGTGCCCCACCACCATCCGTCGAGATGGACAAGAGTACGCTTGTCACACACTTCATGACCTTCTTTGAACGAGCACGACACGGAAAGAGTGCAAGAGCTACTCAGAGCCCATCTCCAGCGAGAATGACGGTGCCTGTGGCGCCTCTATCACCCGAAGACTTTCTGGAGGACTCCCGCGATGATCTTGACATCGAGCTTCGCTTCTTTGACGATGGTAGACAGTACGATATCAATGCCATGCTCACGATGCGGAAGGGAGAGCTAGAGACCATGACGGCCAAGCTTCAAAAATCCCCCTCCGATGCCGTGTGCGATTGTGTCTTCAAAGGTAAAAAGGTCAGTGCCGGCTCTTGGATGGAATCTTTACAGAATATGACACTGGAGGAACTGGAGATGCTCCGCAGCAGCATGACAAAGGAAGCAGCGCAGAAGCCCGTTTCGAGGGTTGGTAGTTGCCTGCCTGCTCTGCGGCGGCTAAGGGCGCTCCACTCCAAGGTCGAAGCAACCTTGTTGTTTGTGGAGGATATGTTGTGTGAAGATTTCAACTTAACCTTCCATGGTAGCCTCATCCAGCTACGCGATGCGGTTTCCGAGAAGATTGGACAGCTGAAAGCAGCTGACTTCATAGCAACTGTTCCTAGCCCTCCTGGGACTTCCAGTTCCCCCTTTCGCATGGTCAAGTCGCAAGAGTAGCATCTTGTGTTTCTGCAAAGCAGAGACGCGACGAGAAGATAGGAATGTGAGACAAAAGGTGTTTCCCATGACAGACAGCTCAGACTGCATGAGTGACATGAGCACCCTAGCCAACAACTCCCCAAAGATCGTGCTGAACCCAAGCTGCGGCGGTATTGCCCGGTCGCAGTATGGAAAAAGGGCACCATGCACTGGCACGTCCGCTGGGCCTTGAGCTCTCCAAGCCACGGAGGCCTCATACCCCTAAGGGTCCATGTACTCATATAGTATATACATTGGCCCCAAAGTACCTATATAGGGACTACTTTAAGGCCAAAGTATATACTATTTGGGTACATGGACCCTTAGGGTACCCTCTGGCTAAGGTCAATGCTGTCTTCGTCCAGCAGCCTCTCGGCCAAAAGGTGGCAAATTGTGGCGAGGGAGCGGCATCGAAAGCGCTGAAAATTTGGGACTCGGATGACCCTACAGGGGTTCGGGTAGGGTCGAGGGCTTGGGGCTTCGACACCTGCCAGGTCAGATCTTTCTCCTAAGGCTTGATCGAAAGTATGCAGAAGATGCTGCAGAAGCTGAAGGGGTCCGCTTCAGACTGCCCAGCAGCAGTCGCTCTCTCCGAAAAGCTAGGCAGTTAGAGAATAGCCAAAAAGGCTTGGTTTCTTGAGCCTTATCTCTTTCTCAGACCGCACACCCTAAACCCTAAGATCTTAAACCGAAACCCCAGAGATCCCGAAAACCATAAGCCAGCCGAGGACCATGAAAATCGCAAGTTCGGATGAGGAGCTGGCTTTCAAGCAGAAGGAGAGAGAGCTCGCCTCCTATACTCGCAAGGTCGCGCCTTTTTCTTGCCACCGGTGTTGGCGGAGTTTGGGGTCCAAGGGCTCTGGGTTCGAGCCAGGGTTTGGGGTTTAGGGTTTTAGGGTTTAGGGCTTTAGGTTTTAGGGTTGAGGGTTTAGGGTTTTTGGGGTTTAGGTTTTAGGGTTGAGGGTTTAGGACCTTTAGGGTTTAGGGTAGGCTGTACTGAAAGTCGCGCATGACCATGAGTACTGCTTCTCCTGCTACTTGTAGCAAGCTTCTGCTCATCGTCGTGGTCCCCCACTCCTTCTGTGGTGGCAGCATTCATCATTCATCGTCGGCGTCATTTCTGATTGCAAGCAGCGTCGCTGTAGCCCCATACGATCTTGCTGGGAGGCTTCGGCAACCTCATCATAATGACATGCCTTGCAACGTGTTCGTCCCGCGGCACCCGAAGCCTCAAGCCAGATACCATGTGACTGGTTGTACCTAATGGGAACTCTTGATTAATGACCCTCCCTCCTCGCAAGGTAGGTCAGCTGGTGGTCTGAAACGCCACCCTCCCCCACAAATAAATTTGGCGGGTTTCGTCCTTGCCACCCAACACTCCTTCTAGGGTGAGGTCAAGCTTTCAGAGTTTATAGTTTATGGGGGTTGAGAGTTGAGGGTTGGGGGTTGGGTTTTAGGGTTGAGGCAAGGGTTTTAAGGCTTCGTTTTTGACTTTAAGTTCCTGGGCTTAGGTGCTTTACGCTTTGGGGGCGAAACCTTAAATCGTCTAAGGTTGGGGCTTAGGGCCGAAACCCTCACCCTAAACCCTCAACAGTCAAACAAAAGCAGTAACAAAACACGATTGTTCTGCGGCGGCCGGATTATTAATCAGGGGGGGGTTGCCTTGCCTACGCTAGGCCTTTGCAGGCTTGAAAAACTGAGTGTTTTACATAGGCCTCCTTTGATTTAAAATGTATTGCTTGGCCACCTCTGGAATTTCTCACTCCAGCCCTGTTTAATCGCTGGGCGATAGGAGCACTAGTCCCAAGAACCCTAAACCCTGAAACACCTAAACCCCTAAGCCCTGACCCCTGAACCCTTATGGTTCCAAAACCCTCAACCGTAAACCCCTGAACCCCTCAACCCCCCTAAACCCCTTCTAAGTCTGCAGGCAAGTTGTGTTTTGGAGATGATGGGGGCAGAAGGTTGGCATTAAGCAGGGTGGGGGGAGGGAGGGGGGGGGAAAGGTTTTTTTTTCCAAGGGGGGGGGGCTCTGGTGGAAAAGGCCAGCGCCTATAGAACATGGTTTCAGCCAGGTCCGAGGCCTGCGCGGGATGCCTTTAATCACGAAAAGGTTTATTAATCAAGAGTTGACACTACATGCAATTCCGAACATGCAGGTCAAAAAGCTCTTTCAGACCATGGATCAAAGTGGCGATGGAGCGATTAATTTCGATGACACTAGCCTCTGATTGGCCTCTTTCCCATCTCGCACTGCGTAGATGCTGCCGGATACTTTTGGCATCGAAGGAGTTGTCTTTCAGGGCTTGCAGCATGCAGGTTCGGTTTTGATTGAGCTCCCTTCGTTTTGTAACCTTGACGTTCGCATAACAGTGGAGTCACACGGCTGCGTGTTATGAGTTGGGGAATACCTTGTGAAACAAGGAATTCTCGAAGCTGGTGAAGTCGCCCATGCTGCAGCTACTCGGATTGACTTCGCCTGAATCTTCGATTTTCGATTAAAGCCTCTTGCGAATAGCTTGCGGGTGTTGAGGGATTCTTCTGGAAGAGCTGTAGGAATCACCAAATGCGCAGCGAAGAATTATCTGTTCGAAAGCAGATGGCCATGGGTGGAGGTTTCCCTCGCACAGAAAGATCTTAACTCTTCAAATAGCTTGGCTTGGATTTCAAGCATGGTCATGTACATGTCTCGTGTGCGTCTTCGGCCAAAACCAAAACGTCGTGCCCCGGAATGGAGGTTCGTAAATGCATTCGAGCTCGTTAAGTTCATGCGCTGCCAAGTCACCAATTTCGTCGTCCTTGAGCTTTCTGGTTAAACCGAGGTTTTTGCTGAGCCAACTGGATTTGGAGTACCATGATTTGTTGAGCCTCTTCGAATTCCTGGACAATGGAGATGGGCAAATCACGTGACTCAGCTGGAATAGGCTCATCGAGGTGGAGAATATTGTGGGTTCATAGTTATCTTGGCCCACGGCTTTTTCCCTGGATTGACATGTTTGTTCTAAACAACTATGTCCACGAAGTGGTTTCAACAACTCTTCCTGCGGTGCCGGCATCAAACCAATGTTGGACATAGATTTGAAGTGCTTGGGGAGCTTTAGGATCAAGCAGAAAGCACGCCTGACCCAAGGGAAGTAGGCACATACCAGCTTGAGCGGCCCCGTCTGCACTATGGTATCATGCTATGCTCCCGAGCTCGCAGGCTTATTACCTGGGATGGAAAACCCTCAAAACGGAATATATGTATGCTTCATTCACATGATTACGGCCCTGCCCCCCGGTAACTTAGGCATATTTACGCAATGTTCTTTGATGACGCGGTATCCTGTAGTTTAGGCGTAGTTAAGTTTTTTCTCTCTCTCTCTCTCTCTGCTATAATATGTATATATATATATATATAGTTAGATATCGATATAGATGTAGATGTAGATGTAGATTTGGATATAGATATAGGTATAGATATAGATATAGATACATATCTATATATATATATGCACACACACACACATACCTTCACTAAAGGATCTTGGGCTGTCTGTGCCCAGCATGAGGCTTACCGAGTTCATCGATGGCGCCGCAAAGCTCCGTGGGCTTTTCGGTCTGAAGTCAGAAGACGGCTTTCAGAGTGCAGGGTTCAGGGTATTAAGGTTTAGGGAGGTTCAAGGCTCCTGTAAGGGTTCTGTACCTGTACTATTGCAGTTTAGGGTTCAGGTCAGGGTTGCTTGAACAGGTTCTGTACATAGTACAGGGGTTTAGGGTTTAGGATTCATGGTTCAAGGTCCCTTGAAGGGTTCTATACGTACATGTGCTATGGTGGTGGTTTAGAGTTTAGGGTTCGTGGCTTAGGTTTTGGAGGATTTAGGGTTTATGTCAGGGTTGAAACCCATTAGTAGGAGCAGTGTGCTGGGATTTACTTCGATTGGTGCTGTGAGAACTAAAGGAGCGGTCGGATTGATTTCTGAAGCTGTTCCTGAACAATCCCTACATAACGATAGTATAAGTACTCTTCTAAGTATACCCCAAACGATCAAAGCACCTGTATCGGGGAATAAAAGTCTGAGACACATGCGCCCGAGGACGGCAAAGGCATTGGACATATGGCGAATGGAGACGAAGCTGGAGGCTATCGTGGTATATGCTCTCGGTCTTGATATCAAAGTACTGCTAGCATGGTACTGATGTCCTATTGACGTAATACTGACTTGGGTATCGTTGTCTTGATATAGGATTGCTTTCGATGTTGATATAGTACTGATACAGCATAGTATTGCCTTCGCTATTCATATAGTAGTGTTATACTAGTGATTTAGTAGAATTACCGATATAGCATGGATTGATGCATCTAGTGTAGTTATAGTATCTTGTTTTTCGATTTGTACATTGGCTGATACAGTAGAATATTATCGAACATATTGATATAGTGCATATCAGCAGCATTCTGTTCTATGCAGCGACAGCTCACCTCACTTCGTGCTGCATTCGTCCCGTGCTGACACACCTTGACTGAATAATGGCCAGCAGTATTCCGAGGGGATCTTTGTTATGAGTATGGGGGTTTATGAACATGTGCCCCAGAAGCCTACTCTGATCACTAGGGCCACTCTGCAATCTGAAGAATGTAAGAGGCAGCTCATGTGATGAGTTTGCAGGTGCTGTTTGGCGAAGTGTTGGCTGCCATCCGAGGCCATGGGATTCTCAAAAGCTTCTCCTGAAATCCTACCCTAAACCCTAAACCCTAAACCCTAAACCCTAAACCCTAAACCCTAAAACCCTAAACCCTAAACCCTAAACAAACCACAAACTAAACCCTGCAAACCCAGGAGCCTCGAAGCTCCACACCCGACACCCTTGGAGTAACATGGGGGATGTTGCGTCTCGGTTGTACTGAAACTGAAGTGAAGATTTCGAGGAAGTTGGTTTTGAAAACGGGTAGGAGGCTGATTCCTTTTTGAGCTTCATGTCAGCTCAGGCTCTTTAAACCCTCAGCCCTAGACCTTCCACCCCAAAGCTTAAAGCCCAAACCCTGAACCCTAAACTGGTAATCCCAAACCTTATTGGTGGACTGTTGCCCTGTCCGTCGCGAGGACACTCTGACGTCCGGGATGTCTTTGACAAGCTTCAGCTGAAAAACATAACCTTCAGCACGAACTCGCGCACGTTGGGTGCCAACTGAGTGAGAAGAGTACTCTGAAGACTATTCCCTTTGATTTCTAAACATGAATATAGAAAATAACCCTGCGTCGAAACCCTACATATTTTATTGGGGCCGTGTCTGATTAATGGAGCCAAGTGAGGCCCTGAATCGGGTGCAACAAAGCCCCTCTGGGAGTTACGGTCACAGCGCTCGGCTGAGCGTCATGCTCGGCAGACGAGAGATATGTGGCGGCTGCTGTGAATGTTGGTCCCGAATCCACTTCGAATACCTTGACAATCCGTACATAGGAGCGAACCCCACAGCCGCTGGGATATTCATTGCTTTTGCATAAGCGTCATCACAACTGTCCAAGACATTGTTGCGATGCGACACATCTTTTCGAAGATTCGTGCTGGAAGCTTTGTCTTGCCCAGCACCAAGCCCATGACCTGAACCTGTAAGCTCTACTGTAAAGCCTAGTGAATATACTCCTTCCTATTGGCCCCAGTACTTAATCAAAGGGAACTCAGTCTCGACCGCAAACCGAAAACCTAACCCTTGCATAAACGCGAAGGGAGCAGTCTGGAATACCACGCACAAAGCTCACCCGCGAGCTTTTTCTGCCTACTGGGCGCGCGCCCGCTCCGGCGAGAACCATCTCTGGCTCGCCTGAAATGAACCGCTTGCCGATGCAGCTACGAAAAACCGAGGAACAAGTTGTGCTTCTGATATATATGTCTACATATATGTCTTTGTGTATTTATGTATTCATGCATGTGCTTATGTATTTAGCATGTATGAATTCTTGTGCTTGTTCACGCAGTGTGTAGATATGCATATACATATGCACATGCGTACACAAACATATACGTACCATCACCTACACGCATAACAACAGATACGCAAATAGATGAACATCAAAATACATATGTAACTCAGACTACACAAGTAGATAGACTGAATGAATGAGGAAGTAAATACAAGCCACCATCAACAAACATAATCGAAGAGTTACAGCCATATGTAAATACATATACAAGTACATGTGCATAGGTATTACAAATGACAACAAACAGAAACATATACAATCAACAGCCCTGTATCTGTACATATATACATAGGTACATGTACATACATATACACGTACGCAAGCTGCCAGGCATTCCATCGCCTGGAAATTCCGCACTAGCTGCAGTAAATTACCACAAAAGTAGCACCTTTAAGGGATCAATCGTGTGGAATAGCCATGGTTGGACGATAGCTTAAAGCCTAAAACCGCAAAGCCTCAAGTCCCGAAGCCTGAACATGAGAACAGTAAGACCTACTCCAAAGCCTGCACCGAACTCCCACCAACCGTAAAGCCCCAAAGCCCTGAACCCCTAAACCCTAAACTTGTAAAATCCTGAAGCCCCAAAGCCCCAAACCTTAAAGCTCACCCGGAGTCATAAAGCCGCAGGGTTTAGGGGTTTCTCGGGTTTAAGGATTCAGGGTTTCGGGGTTTAGGGTATAGGGGTTTCCGGTGTAGGAATTTCGGCCACCAAAGCTGCAAGCAGGGGTCAAAGGGTTTTTGTTACAGGCTATTGGGCTGGGGGGCTTTGGCGGCTGCGGTTGGTAGCTTGTGAACCTTTCGGAGAACCTTCGTTGCATTTACTCGTCTGATAAGGTCACGGTACTTGTCTTTGCGTCGAGCAGAAGTAGGGTTTACTCATGTCTTGGTGAGTGTGTCCAGGCTTTGAAGCATGGTGAGTATGCGCAGTAATTTAGAAGAATGACCTACATCAAGTGAATGTGGATATTGCCAGTTCATGCGTGGCATTGGGGATTCTGGGTGTGCATCTGTGTTCACGTGGAGCTTTGCATGTTCTTGAAATCTTGGAGTCTCTGGGAACTCCGCATACCCCCACAGCAGCGTTGGCTCGAGGGTTTGGGAACCCTAAGCTCTATTATCCAAGTAACCCCTATAAACACGATAATCCCTATCAGCCCTAACCAGGATTTGCAGGCCTTAGCGGCCGCTCTTTAGCGGCGAAGGCAAGAAAAGGAAAGGTGCGGGGAACCTCAACCTCAGTCTGGTTCACATGGGATATGGGTAGTTTTCTAAATTGGGGTCCCGTTTAGGGTCCATATTATGAGGGTAAGGGACCCTAATTAATTTAGAGAACCACCCATATGAACAGACCGCAAGCCTTCAAGTAAGGTTTGTGCCTTGAACTTGGACCCCCAAGCCTGGAACCAAAACTTTATGCCCTGAAGCCCCACGTCGGCCTAAAGCCCTACCTAAAGTCTCCATTGTAATTCCTTTTTCTGGTTAACCCATTTTATACTTGGGGTCCTATAAGGTAACCCCAAAAAGGAACTACAATGGAGACTATAGGTAAATGCCTAAACGCTGAAGTAAACACTCAAAACCCAAAACCCAAAACCCTAAAACCCTAAACCCTAAGCCCCTGAACCCTAAACGAGCATAGGAACACAGATGCTCAAGTAACACTCCTGCAGCCTCTGGCTCAAGTCCGAGCACCAACGAAGCGGCGGCAAGGTCACCGAAAGGCCGCTGAAAGCGCCCTCGACTGGGAAAGACCCGAGAAAGATCCGAAACCTTATGGGGCTTATGGGTTCAGGGCCCCAAGTCATAGGCCTTATGGGTTTAGGGCCCCAAGACGTCTCAAAGATCAGATGGGTCAGGAATTGTTACTTTCTTGAAGAGAGTTTCTGAATGGCCCATGCGTGATTGAGGGGTATTGGAGTTTTTCGGCGGATCACGGAGTTCTCCGACATGGGCCGCACCCTGTTCTCTGTGCTTATCCCCAGCAGCTGGGTTGCATTGGGAAGGGCTGCTTGTGAGCTTAGGGTATGAGGGTGTATGAGGTCTTGTGGTCTGAACCTTTAGGATCCAGGGGTTTAGGGGTGTGAGGTTTATAGGGGTTTGGATTTAGGGTTCAAGGTTTAGGTTTAGGGTTTGAGGAACAGAGAGTTTGGAGTCAAAGCTTGACAGGGATGGTAGGAGAGGTATTTAGGGGTAGGATGTGCAGCCGTAGTGCTTTAGGGCTTGGCCCTTAAATGCAATCCCTTTATTGGGTTTAGGGTTAGGTTTTTGTTGACCCTGGCGTCGATTAGGGTTCACGGCAGGCAAGGTCTAAATCGCCGGCATCTTCGCTGAATGAATGAACGATCACTGACTTAACAACAACTAGAAGCCCCCAAATGCTCCCCTAAACCCTAGGCCCTAAACGGCCCTAAGCCCTGAACCGTACGATCCTGAAGCATGGCTTCTAAACACGGCGTACACACACAACCTCAATTCCTTCACCTCTTCAACCCACCATCTACTGAGCCGAGGTACAAACATAAGTATATTCAGTAGTGCAATTGTGACACCAGTGAACCAAAGAACTCGTCGTCACTGTGTTCCTGAGAGTCCTAGTGGCAGTGGCGATTAGTTGCAGGTTTGCTGCAGAGTTCGAGTAAACTTTCTGTAGGAGCCTTTTTTATAATTAGAATAGGATTTTGGGGGTTCCTTGTTATAATGACAGTATAATATACCCCCAAACCGTATTCTAAGTACTAAGGCCCCTATATTATGCTTGTAATCGCCCCGATTCCGAAAGATTGCTGTAGCCCGACAGTCTCCTAAGGCCTAATTAGCAGTTAAAAATATATCAAACCCCAGACGCCATTCCAACTATCACCCTCGATATTTAAAAGCCTTTCGGAACTTGGAACCCTCAAAACTCTATAAGCAAAAACCCTAACCCTAAACCCGAAACGCTAAACCCTCAACCCGAAACCCGAAACCCTCAACCCGAAANNACCCTCAACCCGAAACCCTAAACCTACAGACGCCAGGTCTCGTACTCGTGGCGGCCGGAAGTGGCCTTCGTGCTGCCCGTGCACGAGGGATTTTCCCAGCCTTTGGGACAAGGTTTAAGGAAGTTTAGGGTTTAGGGACAATACAGAGTTTATAGGGTTTTGGGTTGGAGGTGTAGGGTCTGTTTAGGCATTTCCAAGACAGAACTGACAGTAAACCTAGCGGCAGGAACAACTATGAACACACATCGCCATCATGATGATAATGCCCATGCGGCCACTATGATGATAGTAGAGCGACATGCCGCTACATTTTCCGTTTATACCTCCTTCAGGTGCCGGGTTGCTTGTAGCTTGGGGGGGGGGGGGGGGGGGGNNGGGGGGGGGGTGATGTGTTTCGTGTTTCGAGGTTTGGCTTGCTATGGTTTGGAGTTTGGCTTCTGCTACGGTTCGGTTTGGTTTAGGAGGTGGTTCAGTGTTGGGTTTAGGTATAGTAGGGTTTAGTATCGAGTCTTACAAGGTTTGCTGGGACTTTATGGGGTACCAGGGATCTTCAGGTGGCGTTTGTTACGGCTGAGGTTTTCAAGCTTTAGGTTGTTGGGTGTGCTTTGGGGTTTCACAAGCGGCTCCCTCCCTCTGAGTCTTGCTGTCCTCATTGGGCTGGCGGCGCATTTCTACCAGAAGCCTAGGCCGACTTCTCTACCCGGAAGCCCTGCACCCCAACGTTAAGCCAAAAGTCCAAGAGACTGTTTGGAACGAGGTCTACGATGGCACCATCACCTCACCCAGGCCGTCCGGAGCCATGCGATGCGGTAACCTCATCGTACCACCATAGCTGACACCTTCTCTTCAACCCTCAGCAGCAACCTTAAACACTGTAAGCCCTAAACCCGAAACCCT